TTAATTTTCTTTTATCTTCATATATTCCTTCAGTTAAGACTTCCATGATTTGGATTTGTGTATGTTCAATTTGAATTTCAATGTATTTTCAATTATTACATTCATATTTCATTATATATATATATATATATATATATATATATAATTACATACAATTGAAAATTGAATTTAANACTAATAATTTCTGAATTTTTTTTTAACAATTATTATTTACCTTTCATAATAATGTTATTTTATTTATAACAACCTTACACTCATTTGATACAATCTGAAGTAAATATGAACTGAATTCAACCCAAATAAACTTAAATATTTTTGATGATGTGAATTTTATCACCTCACATTGTTATGATCAGTATGTTTATCATTTTTAAAATTGTTTGTTAGTTATTATTTTAAACAATATTAATAGTTATAGATTTGATTCAGGCTAGTTTTATAACTATTAAGAATACATTTACTTTTCAGTGACAGTTCTGGTGCTAAAACCATTATCCCATTTGATACAATCTGAAGCAAATATGCACTGAATTCATATCAAATGAATTTATATTTTTTTATGATCAGTATGTTTATCATTTTTAAAATTGTTAGTTATTAATTAAGCAATATTAATAGTTATAGATTTGTTTCAGGTTAGTTTTATCACTATTAAGAATACGTTTACATTTTAGTGACAGTTCTGGTGCTAAAGAAAAAGAAATCACGAGGTATTCTCGGGAAACCTTATTAAATGGCCTTGCCGACCCTGATCCTTCTATTCGGTGAGTGTAATCATATTCATCAAATCAAGTAATCAACATAATTTTTTGTTAATGGTTTAGAAATATACTGATATTTTATAAGTATGTTTTAAAGATGAACTGTGTTTTTGTATTCTTGCTCTTGAAATTTTAATACAATTACAATATTTATTATCCGTTTTATCTTTCCATCATTAACGAGAACCCATACGTTTTCAAATGAAGTGATTTTATAATTTTTTGATATTTTTTATTGTTTTTAAAATGCTGTTTCAAAACTGTTAAATATGACTGTTGAGTGCAAAGCTGTTAAATGTATATGTAAGTATATTCATGTGTTTTTTAAAAAAATATTTTATAACTTTATTTCCATCATTTGTGTTTCATATTAATTTCAGGTATTATATATATATATATATATATATACGTACATATATATATACGCATATATATATATATATATAAGGGGCCGTTCAAAAAGTACGTACATCCTGAAGGGGGGAGGGGATTTGCTATTTTGTACGGTTTTGTACGATGGAGAGGTACATTATTCAAAGATACATTATACATTATACAAAGTACGTACATTATAAGCATACACCAAATTTAAATTTGCCTTTTTCCTGCACATGTATTATACATATGTTTGTTCTTGTATTTTTTTTTTCACACGACGACCACTTGTTAGAATGAGTAAATCAGTTCTACTGTAGATTAATTGTAAATTACTGTAGATTAATTGTTATACTGTAGATTAATTGTTAAATACTGTAGATTAATTGTATTGATTGTAGGAAATTATTATGCTTATCAGATAAGATTGTTTTATTTATTGATTCAAAGAATAAGGTAGGGCGTTATTGTTTAAGTAATTTAAATGAATAAATTATTTTAAATAAATATTTAGTTTAATTTAAAACATAATTGTTTTAATTTTTATGAGAAAGTGGGTAGACTAACAAAATGTACGTACTGTAAGGGGGGGGGGAGAGGGTTAAAATTTCTCCATTTTTTTGTACGTACTTTATGAACGGCCCCTATCTAATATATATTAACTAAATCTTTTTTCTTAGTTTTTATACTAAACAAAACATTCTTTCTCACACTTTAATATTCAAATCCTGTCTTTCAATCTATTGCCTTGCAGTTATGCATTAGTTGCATTTTATGGTTTTCATTTTAATAACCGTGAGAAAGACATTTTTTCCCTCGACTTTTTTAACAGACCAATTATAATAATTGAGATTTCCCTACGAAACATTTTTAAGTATTTATTTTGCTAGATTTTCCCTAATGTTTATTGAGGAGCTCTTCAATTTTTTGTCACTTGAATGTCATTTTTGTCACTTCATGAACATTTCTTAATAAATACGTATGGCCTGGTGCCTGAAACATCTGCCTATTTCCACCTCTCGGCGACGTTCTGATAAACCTGCAGGGTGAAAATAAGTTGCCAGGCATTAATTATTTAACTTTTCTTTTTCAATCTCTTGATTTTCTTTTAAAAAAAGAAGGCAGGTTAATAAAATGCTCGTTACTTAAGAGGAGATGCCGAGGAAAAGGTTTTCTAGGAGAGGGAATAAAAAGGTTTTCTAGGAGAGGGAATAAAAAGGCTTCATTGCTCCGTTGCTGAGAGAGAGAGAAAAAAAAAGGCTCCATTGCTCAGTTACTGAGAGAAAAAAAGAGGTTCCCTTGCTCCGCTGCTGAGAGAGAGAGAGAGAAAAAAAAAGGAAGTCCTGCTACTAAGGGATGAACGCTTTTGATTTTGTTTTCGAATTCTGGTTTCTAATGTGACAACTTTTCGACATTGGCAAAAGTAAAAAAAAAGAAAAANAAAAAAAAAAAAAAAAAAAAAAAAAAAAAAAAAAAAAAAAAAAAAAAAAAAACAGTAGTTTGTATTTACTAAAATACTTCGTATTACTTCGGCAAGATTGTAGTACAGATACTATCAAAATTTATTTTGATCTTTGAAATCTTGAAATTTATTTGGATCTTCGATCTCTTCGAAAGTGATTTGCAGTTAAAAAATATTATTATGCTTTTCAGTGAAATCTTGTGAGCGAAAGATTTCTAAAAATACTTTACTTTTGCTTTTACTCTAATTATTTATAGCTGTTTTAAACCAAGGTGATAACAGTGGATAGACTAACGATTTTAAGTCTTTAAATGCGTTTATCTCAAAATCAATTTTTTACACATTTTGCACTACCTTTTAAGCAAGATATCTCATGTCGTTTTCAAAATAAGAGTCTACACATGTTTTGAACTACTGACTAAGACTAAAAGTGGAATTTCTTTATTTATGTATGGTTTTTCTCAAAGACAAGTGAGTTTAAAAGTTTGTTTTTTAAAATACATTGATGTCTAACTTACTAGTAAATTCCCTCGATTTTAACAGAATAGTTCAAACATCGTTGATGGCCTTCTTAAAAAAATCCTCAAAAGATTTTTTGTTTTAGGTGATGGAAATTTTTTAACAGTGTTTAGCGTATATGCGAAAAATTCCTTATTTTCATATAAAAATGGCCATTTTGAGAAATGATAATAAAATTATGATTTTTTTGCGGGTATTCTGAGCTTTTACACGCAATAAAACAAATTAACCAGCTTTAAAATTTTATATTAATATTTTAAAAAAAGTTGCCGGAACCAGTCGGAATTAAGTCAAATTTTTGAATGTTTTCTTGATAGGGTAAATGGAACAAAAACATACTGAAAACAGATGAAAAAATTTATTTATTAGTATTCATCACATTATAAAGAGGTCTGGATCATATTACGGTATATGGTACCGGCACGTTCGGGTGCATCACCCATAAAATCTATTTTACCTTAGAATTCCATTTTACTGTCAAGTGATGCACTGTAATTTTTCAGTAATATCTATTTAGAGTAATTTAGTTATTTTATGGTAATTATAACAGTAAAAATAACGGTCAACTGATTTTTTATGAACACATTCAGAACTAAATAGATTTTAAGGTAAAAAGTAATGACAACCTGAGATATAATATTTTTTACTCTAATTTTTTTGATTCGGAAAATTTTACGGTGCTGTTTCTTAAATCGGCATACAGTTGAGTACTCTTAGAATTGTTACATTTTTGATGCTAAATAAAAGGAAATGATTGCTAATAGAGGTGTAAATGATAGAGTAACAGTAGGGTGTAAATGATATTTAACTCTGATTGAAAGCTTTAGACGTAACGTTTATGATGTTAACAAAACTTTCATAAAAACTTTCATTAATAATATTTAACTCTGATTGAAAGCTTTTGACATAATGTTTATGATGTTAACAAAACTTTCATAAATGATGTTTAACTCTGATTGAAAGCTTTAGGCGTAACGTTTATGATGTTAACAAAACTTTCATAAAAACTTTCATAAATGATATTTAACTCTGATTGAAAGCTTTTGACGTGACGATTATGATGTTAACACAACTTCCATAAACACTTTCATAAATGATATTTAACTCTGATTGAAAGCTTTTGACGTAATGTTTATGATGCTAACAAAACTTTCATAAATGATATTTAACTCTAATTGAAAGATTTAGACATAATGTTTATGATGTTAACAAAACTTTTATAAATGACATTTAACTCTGATTGAAGGCTTTAGATGTAATGTTTATGATGTTAACAAAACTTTCATAAATGATATTTAACTCTGATTGAAAGCTTTAGACGTAATGTTTATGATGTTAACAAAACTTTCATAAATGATATTTAACTCTGATTGAAAGCTTTTGACGTAACGTTTATGCTGTTAACAAAACTTTCATAAAAACTTTCAAAATGATATTTAACTCTGATTGAAAGCTTCTGACGTAATGTTTATGATGTTAACAAAACTTTCATAAAATCAATCTAACTTGCTCAATGTCGGTAGTTGTTATAGTCCCTACTTTGTAAAATAATTCGAATCAAATTATGGTAAAAACGTTGCCGGTATTTTTTATAGTGAAATTTATTTTTATCGGAACATGTTGCGGTAAAAATCCATTATTACCGGAAATTATTAATTGTTTCCGAAAAATCTGAAATACCGTAATTTTTACAGTAGAAATTGCTATAAAAGAATTGAATCACTCTAATTAAATGCGTATTTCAGTATAGTATTTTGTGGAAAAGATAGATTTTTTGTTAAAATTGATTTCGCAGATGATGCACTAAAACTGCCTGTTCTTTCAACCTTAATTTGATTAAGGATTTTTCACACTCTAGGTGTTTTATCATAATAAAATGCTGTAAATAGGTAACTTTTTCACAGTACCTGCGTATCTTCCGCCATGAGACAGTAATCTACAAATACTGCTGGTATGTCTGCCCACTCATTGCCGGCAAAATCTCCGATACTCTTCACAACTTTCTTAATTTTCTGTAAAAAGTTATGTTAAGCCTTAAATATTTAGTTAATATTACAGTGAAGGAAAGAAGGGAATCATCCTAAATTGCTTAAATATTAGTGATGAGATTTTCACTTTCTAAAATTCAATGGACTTGATTAAGATTGGTGCAATGCTTAAACTCAAAACTGATAATTCTTTAGTACTAATTAATTTACGAAATTAGGTTCAAAAAATTGAATTCAATTAAAGACATTGCATACATTTTAAATTTAATTGAATTTTTGACATCCATATATTGTTAGATTTTTTCTGCAATTATCAACTGGTGTAGTAGCTTTTACAATACCAATACGTTTAGGAATTAAATTTGACTTCTTACCTGCTAATTGTATCTTTCCATTAATATTTTATAGTTCGAAAATGCTCTTTTTTCTTGAAATAGGTTTTGATTTCTGTCGTTCTTACTTCGGAAATAACAGTGTTTAGCTGCGTGATTCATCTTATGGCAGATGAAACATTTCTCCATGCTTCTATTTTCATATTTATGTTTTAATAACAAAAAGCAGACAAATACATACAAATTTAATTTATGTTTTACTCCGAATGCTTCTGCTCTTCTAGGAATATCATTTTTTAATTTTGATACGCTGTTTTCTTCTTCAGTATTTCTTAAATTTTATCCACTTGTTTTTCACTTTGGGTTTTCAGGATTTAAAAAGCAGACAAATACATACAACTTTAAAAAGAACGCCATCTGGTGGTATTAAGAAGAAATCCTTCTCTGGGAATGGCAACAGCTTTGTTTACTGGTAAAGTGGACTCGTCAAGCTGTATAGGAAATTCAGATATTTTTAAGTACTCACATAAAGAATTTTAAACGCTTTGAGCCATTTCGTCAATCCTTTTTGCACATTATTATTTCTCAGTGGAATTCTTTTTGAAAGCTGGTTTGTCGTATTACGTCACTTCCGGACTTCGCTAACAATAAAGAAATACTATAAGAAACATGCAGTCCATCGTTTTCGCTTAGATATTGTCCCTATGATTTGTTACAGAGACGGTATTTTCAAATATTTTTCTTTGACTCTTTGAGAAATAGTTAAATCCTTATCTTTTTGTCACCATTGATTTTTATTAAGTGTTCCTTAAGCTTAGAAGGTTTCATTGAATCATTTGATATAGTTTTATTATATAGAAGATACATAAGTAAAGTACTATTTCCTGGTGGAGAAAATAAAGCCATACTTTAAATATTCAACAATGTATTGTTGTAATTTTTTTTCTTTAAGGCTCCTACACTATCAGAGCTGACCTATCAAGCAATATTGGAGCAAAAAAGTTCTCAATTTAACGTTATGTTAGTATTGTGCTTATGTTAGCTCTTTGGAGCAAAAGTAGATGATGAGTCGGCCTGTCTAAGTCAGGGGCTCTATTTTTCTTCGACTCACACATACTGTTATCTGTTGAAAAGGGCGAAAAGGAATATAAGAAAATTTGTATATCAAATGTTTTATTTGCAACTAACCACTGCTAATGATTATTAACTTTCTCAATGGAATGCTGCAGTAAAGCCCTTTTAAATTAATTATTTGACGTACGGATAAAACTGCATGTAATTTTTGAATAAAATGAAATTCACAGTGATTAATTTTATTTAAAAAAAAACTTATTTAAAAGAAACTACAATAAAATGTAATCTAACGTTAAGAGATATTGAAAAATAGGATTTTTTTCGAAAGAGATCAATTTTATTCAAATATACTTATGTAACAAAAGTACAATATCTGGGTAACAATTCAAAAAATGCAACTATAACAAAACTTCCAACTAACAATACAAAATTTCTTTTCGTCTAAGACTGGGAAAACTTGTTTTTACTCTTCGTCTCAGCATAACATACAACTAAATTGTTGATTATGCTTATAGTGTATATAAGTTAGTATACGTAGCGACGTTCTTGCGTTCTTGTTCAAACCTGTTTTCGGCCTACTATCTCGCACCGTGACATGCTTGTTATAAACTTAGGAAGCTGGCACCATCGAGAACTATTAAACCATAGGCGAGTGTGTCAGAGGATTTTTTTCTATCTTCGTTTTTGAGGAATTACATAAATTTTTTCATTGCTTTTTCGTTATTATTTTGTTGTTAGAGTGTTGTAGGAAATTGAAAGCTTAAATTTATTGAAGTAAATTGGACAATGACTAAGTTCTAATAAGATCATTAGTTTTAAAAATTACATTAAAACTAGTTATGCACGCCACTGTTACTACAATTTAATGACAAATTCGGTAGAAATAGGTTTTGTCAATGTTCATTCATAAAAGTTATGACATAACGCAAAGTACTTAGGTAACATACTGTATAAAGCACCGATCTATTATTTATATTTTACTCAGGTCGTAAAAATCGCTATTTTATTTACTTTATATTCCATTGTAATAAAAATCGATCAAATTTTTTTTTTTAATATTAAACCTTCCTGGGAACCCCTGAGGTTGTTCACCGACCCAAACCAGTTTCGATTTACCACGGATACTACGGACCCCCAGAGGTCCGTAGGGACAATTATGGAACCACTGTTTTATGTAGATAAAATTGTCAGTGGTTTTAGTGTTAAAAACTTCAATAGATTAAGATTCGAATCATAAAAATTTATATTATCTTATATTTCTAAAAATTGTTTTAGTGCACAAACAACTTAAAAAAAATAATTTTACCTCATCTGATCCCAAATCTAAGCAACTATTAATCTCAACATCAAGGTCTTTATCTGAAATTAAATTGTTTTCTAATTAGAGAAAACAAAGCATATGACACTTTCGAAAATTACCTGATTTCCAAGTATCAATATGGATAAAAAGACATATAAAAAAATTAAGATATTCGTTGATTAAACTTCATTGATTAAAGAGAATTTGAGTGAATGAGCGCCAAAGCTTATACGTTCTTCTTTTTAGTTACTTCGCACAATCATTATGTGTTATATATTTGTGAAGATATAACTCATAAAATTTTTGGGGAACTATTTATTTGATTGTTTTATAAAGGGACATTTTAATGAATTTTGTGCGTAGCATTTGCTGGTTTTCACAAAGGAGTTTCAATGTCTCTCAACGAATATAATTTTGTTTGAAAAGATAACGTTGAAAAAATTATATATATATATATATATATATATANCATTCCTCAACTGATACAGTATTTCAGTACGCACATTCTCAACATACACGAGATGAACGTCTATCTCACCCACCCGGTCATCGAGAAACTACTTTAAATTTGTTTCATTAATTATTATTATAACACAAGAAGAATAAATGTTTATTTATTACACTTTAGGCTCTTTCTTTTATGCTATCACTAAACAAATAGGTTTCAGAATTACATTTCATGTGCCTTTTTATAACTAAGCATCGTGAATTGTCTCATTTTTATCCCCTTGTACATTGTAGGAAAAAAACAATGGTGGACGTTTTCGGCCTGCGACAAAGCATAGAGACTTAAATACTGCTGATTAGACAAATGAGGTATTTTCAAGGGCGCCGGCAGAATAATACAAAGGGGGGCGCAGCAACCCTCTAACAAAATACTCCCCCGCCCCCACCCCAAAAAAAGAAATTAAAATATTCTGCTATTACATTTTGTTTTGTTATTACATATACTTTCATCTGTTAATTTTTTTAAACATACATTTCTTCATTGTTAACAAGATATTTAAAAAAAAGTACGAATTTCTTGTGCTTGCAAATTTTGCCACGCGAAACTGTACTGATGGTGCTGGGATAGCTACTGACTTTGAAACACAATTAACTACAAACAATAGTTTTGTATACTAACGTGTTTGTGCACGCTTAACATTGGTATTCATTGTGTTGATGAAGTTTTACAGTTGCGAGAAGTCATTTTGTGTTATATATCTTTGTTAAACTAAATAACCAATAGAAAATATAACATTATTTATATTTTATCAAATGAAATTTAAAAATATAGCTTAAATATCTGCCAAGTTCGTGCATGCTCAGTGTGCATAAGAAAAGAATCAAAGATGACTCAGAATTCATTGAAAAAGTTATAAACAGATTTGGACAGCAAACAAGACGATTACAATTCTTGTTTGATTAAACAAATTTTTAATTGTTATGTATCAATCATTACTTAATTATTTGTTTTTGAATAAAAATATTTTTAATAAATTTTTTTTATAACAAAATTGTTTTTCTGTATTATCTCTTTAATTGTTTTAAAAAAAAAGTCAGGGAGGTGCAAGTGCACCCTCTTGCACCCCGCTGCCGGCGCCCTTGGTACCTACTGTAAGTAGCCTATAAATAGGCTTTGTTTACATCCTACTGAATGGAATAAGTACCGGAGAATTTGGTTGATTATGGTAATTTACTAAATATTGTTTGATAAGGCGACCTTCTAAAAACATGTCTTACTTAATCTAATAGCGTAAAGCCATCAGAAAGAGGAACAAATGACAATAAATTTAAAAAAAAAAACTGTAATTTTTTAAGTTAAAAAATTGTGTCCGCATATCTTTGCCAAATTTGTGCATGATTTCGTATTGTTGATCATTACCAATTTATTGATTATTTTATTTTGACTTGTAAGAGGAACGAGTATTCAGCTAGTAACAATAACATAAGAGTAAAATTATATTTATTTTCAACGCTACTTAGAAAAAAGAATTAAATATATTATAAGAGCTCTGAGTCTGAAACACAAAGTAATGCGAACCATAAACAAAAGAAAAATGATTTGTCGAAGGTATTTAAGGGTTATTTTCCCCTTTCTTTTTTCAGTTATTGATTCTTAAAAAAATGTTAATTCCTCTTTAATATATCTAAGCTGCTGGTTCAACTTTTTCACTTCTAAGTCCTAACGCCTTAGCGTTCAATGCCAAGCAAGTAATTTATTAAGGTTGTTCTTTGACCATTTGTAGCCACGTCACCAAGTTCTTCTACTTAAATCTTCATATTTTGATATGTTTAATCAATCATAACATATTTACTAAACTAATTAGGTAATAATTCTACTATCTATTACTAAAATATGGAATACTAATCTGTTGATATGTTTTAAACTGATTAGTTTAAACAAACATAAGAGTTAAATATAAAAAGTAAATATTTTTTAGAAGTCGATAGAATAAAGTAGTTCGTACCGTTTTCAGTTGCTACATTAAACTAATTAAATTTTTTCTTATTAAATTAATCAATAATTATAGAAAAAACAATATGTTTCACCTAGAAAGATAAAAATCAAAGTGGTTGGCAAGCGAATGGAGCACATTTCTGTTTACGTTCATTTTGTTTTGTGTCCACTAGATTTGTGTCCACTAGATTGAAGAGACACGAGGATAGTAAAATAAAAAAATGTAGCAGTAAGTAATGTATACTAAATTTTAATATTTACGTTAAGAAATTCAGAAAAAAATTGAGAAAAGTATATTCTGCTGAGTTATAAATGTAAGTAGAAGCATATTTTACTAAAAATATGAATGCACTACTTTGTATTATGGAAGTATTATTACTACTGACTTAGTCACTAAGGAAAATAATCCTTTTTTTAAACTCACTTATACATATAAGGTACATTAATTTCAGCTCATATGTTTATGATTTGAACAGAAAAATAGTCTCACCCCCTGGTTTGCATTTGATCCATTCCAAGCAAGGTTTAAAGTGATCGCCAGTACCTACGTCCTCCGAATTTGAAGGCTTACCATTTACAAAGTCAAAACAACAACAATACAAAGTCAAAACAACAACAATTAATATTAAATTAATTAGCATCTTAGCAACAGTGATAATTTACCTGCTTTATTTTACTACCTAATACTCTACTTAACTCAACTCAAATTGCTTTAAATATATAAACATTAGCTGTTTAAACAATAAAACGTGATCAGAATACATTGGGGATTGTGATTGAATAGGTAAGTTTTGTTAAAAACAATACAGGATTCATTTGATGCGGAGCTCCATTTCCTTATTAAAAAAATTATTAAAAAAAAATCTGAAAAAGGAACAATATAACTCTATTGAGATATTTTTTTTGATCAAAATAAAACGTATTTTGATATTACAAGTTTGATTATTGATGATGAAATGTATTTAAATTCATTTCTTTATCATTTCATTACAATAGAATCTATACATTTAATTTTTTATTACGTTCCTGAAGCATTATTGTTCTTTCTACATGCTATTATTTTTTTTCTATTTTAACCTTCATTCTGTTTTACTTTTACTTTACGTTTTTTTCCTTTTGAAGAACGTATATACGGCTTATTAAGCCTTTGTTACATTAAATTTATTCATATTGTGGAAAAATAAGTATGGAGGAGAAAGCACATTATAATATCACGTATATAATTATGCTACTTTTTTTTATTTGCTTTTGTTAAGTTCATGGAAGAAAAAAAAACTCAGTTAAAAGGACATTAAAATGTGGTTGGATCAGGTATAAGAAAATTATCAATACTATATCTATAACATTAAAAAGTTTTCATTTATTATTGGAATAAATACCTTGTTTTATAGATTATAAAATACTAGGAGGGTCCGCCCCCTGCTCGCTAACACTCGCCAACCCCTGAGAATCCTATGTGGCTCACGTCGTGAACCATGGCTCGCAGCGTTCGCTTGCCAATGAACACAATGTTCTAGCACAAAGACATAGTATATTATCATCAAAGACATAGTATTTTATCATCAAAGACATAGTATTGTACTTATGTAGAAGAATTATATCAATTTCTTATTGGTTTTTAAAAAAGTATATTAGCTATTTAGATTGTACATGGTGAAAAAATCAAAACATTAGCTAAATAAGAAACATATTAGGCAAAATAAATTATCAAATATTGCTTCACTAATATTCTGCATTTTAAAGCGTGAAAATTCAATGCATAATAAAA